GGTCAAGGGGGGGGGAGGAGGAGGGAGGAGGGGGGGGGGGGAGGAGACGCCCCTCCCTGTCTGCTCCCACTCTATAAAGACCTCTCCCCCTGCACGATCCTCAGAACCAACTGTAGAGAGCAGTGTGTGTGTGTGTGTGTGTGTGTGAAGAGCTCCAGTCAGGGGGCAGAGAGCATCTACAGCCAGGAGACCACTTCCTGGTCTTGACTTTTTTTTTAACACGTGTGGATTATCGGGAGTCGAGTCGTTGAAGCAGGATTTAAGAAAAAGAAAAAAAACCCAAGGATTTTGTGTTTCTACTGAAAGCTATGGTGGCTTACGATGAACTTGGCAGCCTGGTGCCGATCAAACGGACCCTGCAAGTCATAGACTACCAGAACCAAGCCAACAAAGAGTCCGAGGTGAGTCCCTGGGTGAAGTTAATGATTGACCCGACAACAGTAGTAACAGTAGACTGTGACCCCCCCACCCCCGCCCCCCCACTGTAGCTGCTCAGCCTTGATGTCATTTGCAGAGGAGTGAGTCAAGCCCTGGGGGGTCGAGGGGGGGTCAGTTTGCTTTAGTTTTCAACCAACAAAAAAAAAAAAACTTTTTTCCTTTTAGTCCCAGAGTTCAGGGTCTTTGATGTGGGACTGGGAGCGTCCCATTGGCTGCTCCGGTGCAGCAGGTGTGGACGCCCAGGTGTTGGTGTTCAATTCTCACCCACATCAGTCTCCACTTCTGCAGCCACCGCGCTGCCTTCCTCTTTTCAAGGTTTCGTCGTTTCCCTTTTCCCTGAAACCACGTTGTGTAAAAGTACAGTTCAGTACAGTACGGTACGGTACGGTTTCCTGACAGTGGACCACATGATTACAGAGAATTCATGAAGTGACTGAGGTTTCTGTTCCCTTTCATTGACGGTCAGACTGTCCTGTCCTCAGACCAGTTCTCAGATCAGTTCTCAGATCAGTTCTCAGAGCAGCTCACGCTGTGCTTTAATCACATCTGGGGTTCTGTACTTCAAAGAGGAAGTCCAGGCTCATGTTTATGGTCCACTTATCTGAGTCCAGGACTTGACGTGGGCCACATGTTTAAAGGAAGGTCAGCGTTCCACCTGGGTTTTTTTTTTTTTTTTTTCCCTCTCTCTTCAGAATTCCAGACTGGCTGCTGTTCCCAGGCCTCACTGTCAGGAATATCCACTTTCCCGACGGCCTCTGTTTAGTCTACACTTTAACTCTGCTGTTTTGGTTTGAATGTTTTTCTGGAGCCAGACTTGACAAACGGTCATTTTCTTGTTTTAACTTCAAACACAAACTCTTTCATCTCTTTTTTTTTCTTCTTTTTTTCTTTTTCTTTTTCTTTTGTCCTTTAATCGCCGTGTTCACAGAATAAAAACAAACAAATTAAACAAAATCAAATCCTCGTTCCTTCTCGGTCTGAGCACTTCCTCTGCAGACTCTTCCACCACCGGGGGGCCTCGCTGAGCTCACAGCTACTAATGAGCGTCTGCTCTTATTTCCACGCTGGGATCTCGGCCCGGCTGCTGCAGACAGTGGAGAAACCGCAGCCCCCCCCCCCACCACCACTCCCCCGCCGCTTGTCCGCTCCCAACCCGCCCCCGGCT